TAAATAAACTTATTAATAAGATTTAAAATATATTTAAATATGTTTATAAAAAGCTTATATAAGCTTAAGATTTTTAATAAGAGTACATAAACTAATTTTAAACTCCTGCCCCTGCGTATGCAGCTAGCAAGAAAGTCTAGCTAGACGCTAGAAATATCTAAATAAACTAATAATTAAAAAAACTTAATTAGAAGAACTTTAGCCTTTTTATAGTAGCTTATATAGTCTTATTACATGCTTACTAATTAATCCTACCTAACAGCATAAAAATACACCCTGTGTTCTATGTATTATTGCTGCGCTAAGTAGCCTCTAAATCTAACTATCTACCTAGATAGCTAAACCTGCTACTTAAACCTATTATTATAAATAATAAACTAAAATATGTTATAAAAGACATTAAATAGATCTAGTTTAATAAGAAAAAATGTATCTATAAATACTTTATAAAATAGACTAGATATAATAAACTGTTATAAGAACCTGCAGAAGCCCTATAAAAAAACTCTATAGTAACTTAATTCTACACTTAATACTTATCTAAACTAAACCTATACCCTAATAAAGACAACCTAATGCTAGAACTACTAATGTAAAGGATTCCCTTCCTAATAAGGGGGGGGGTACTGTCACAGTATCCTCCCTAGATCCTAGACATAACTGTATTAGACGTGTACTAGAGTATTATTAGTGCACATCTAACATAAACACAACATAACATAGACATAAACTTAAGTATAAACTGCCTTAACACTAACTAAACCTAAAACAGGCTTAATTTATACTTAAAGTGCTTAGACTTCTAAGCTAAGTATTTAATTATTAATTTTCTTCTAAACCTTCTTATTTCTTACACAACGTCTTGTACCTACTATAATACCTTACATAGTAATTAAACTAGACCTCTGTAAAGCTCTATAACCTTACTTGTGCACAATTGTAACACGCTGCACTTTCTAGTTTAAGTTGCTATTATTTAAAGCAGTATACTATAGTAAGTGATTTTTTATTATAGATCTTATAATTACCTTTTATAAGACTTATTTTTTTTAAAAAGTATGTAATAGGCCTAATAGTCCTATCTAGCTTAGTCTAGAAAAGAACTTCTACTACTACATAGTCTAAGGCATTAGCTTTTATAAGTATTAGTAGTTTAAAGTTAAAGTAGTAAAGTATTAAGGCTTTAGTAAAGGCTTTCTTTAGCTAGTTAAAGCACTATTAGTAATTTAAGTTAAAGTTAAATTAAATTTTTTTTTTAGTAAGTATAATTATAAAGCTTACTTACTATAAAAAGTTGTTAATAAATTATTAGTAAAAGTTAGTAAATTTTATAAAAGCTTAAATATTTTTTATATTTTTTAAGTATTACTAATCTAGCATAGTCTAAACCTTAATAGGGTCTATTTAGATGCTATTTATAGAGATTACATATTCTAAATATGTAACCTTTAATTAGTAGAACTTACATTTGTCTATGTTAAGTTATAGACCTGCTTTTTCTATAGCTTTTAGCACTAAGTGTATATGCTATTTATGCTCTAAAAGGCTATTGCTATAGATTAGAATATTATTAATACACATAGTGCAGAACATGTTTAGGTAGGGTTAGAGCAAGTTATTTATAAAATATTAAAAAGTACTAGGTGTGTTAGCTAAGCTAAAAGGCATTACTAGGTACTTAAATAGTCTATATTAAGTCTAAAACACTGTTAGCTACTTATTACCTTTTACTATCTTTAGCTTATTAAAAGTAGTAATAATATTTAACTTTATAAAATACTTTACTTTACTTAGTTAGCTTAAAGTTTTCTATAAAAAAAAATTAAGTATTAGTTTTTAATAGTAATAGTATTTAGTTTTTAGTAGTTAACATAAAATTAAAGCTTACTTTTAAGTTTCTTTATAAATAGTATAGGTAACACTACTAGTAAGAAGCTAGCTTAAATAAACTTTTTTTTTAAGTTTTTATTAAGGTATTTTTAGAGCACTTTTAATTTATTTAGTAATATTTTATATAGTAGCTTATAACTAGGTTATTTACTAGGCTTAAAAGTTATTTAGTAATTATATAGATGTTATATTAAAAGCTTATTAAACTTATTTTAGAAAAAAATATATAATAAGTTATAGTAGTTTTAAAAAACTATTATTTTTAAGTTAGTGTGTTTTTAAAGAGCTAGAGCTTAGTCTATATTAGAAATTATAACTACGTAGATTTTATAATCTAGTTATTAAGCTAGAGTTATAAATAAAGCAGGTTCTATATAGCAGATGTCTATTTACTATTTAAGTCCTAGTTTATGTTTAAATTAAGTAAGTAAAAATTTTTTAAAAGCTTTCTTTTTTTTAGGTTTAAGTAGTTATTAAATTATTTTACATAGCTTATTTTAGTAAAAGGCCTAGCTTATTAGCCTTACTTAAGTAGTTTTTTTCTAAGTTATTAAAAAGTAAGTCTAAAAACTTTTTATATTAAGTGCTACTTAAGTATTATTTAAGTATAAGCGTAAGTATATATTTTAGTATTAAAAAGAGTTAAAGTTTAGAACTTACTTTTAGTAATTAAAAGTAACCTTATGCTAATACAGCTATAGTTATTCTAAAATTAGGTTATAACATCTTATATTTATTACATAGAGCTTAATCTACTCTTTATAGTGTTAGTAAGTAATTATAATAGTTATAGTATAAAAGATAAAACTTTTTTTAAGTTATTTTTTATTAAATCTAGTTAGGTAAATTATTTAGGTAAGTAGTGTTAATTAAAGATTTAGTTTACATACTAGTTCTTTATTAATATAACTTATGCTATTTACTTCTAAGTTAATAAAAGCTTATATTAAAGCTAATATAGTTTTTTATTATAAATATATAAAAATATTAACTTAGTACTTTTAGTTATTAGTAGGGGACTTAGCCTATAAGTTAGTAAAGATTTAGTGTTAAATTAGTTTTAAAAAGTAACTTAGCCCTAGAATAAGCCTTTTTACAGGCTTTTACTACTATAGCTGTAGCTATGTTAAGAGTAGTAAAAAAGATTAAAGCTTAAATATAAGTTAAAGCCTTTATAAAAATAAAAATAAAATAGTAAAAATTTTTAATAAGTGCTAGCAGCACTACTTATGTAGACTTAAAAAAGAAAAATAAAGTAGTTTTAAAAAATATAACTATGCTTACTATACTTAAAGCATTAACTTTTTTTTTTATAATTTTTACACTTTTTAGAACTAACTAAAGCATAATTTAAATTAATTTTTATTACATTAAAGTCTTTATTTATAACTGTGCTAGTTTAGGGGCGTATTAAAGCTTATACAGAGAGGAACCTTATGTTATTATTATAGGTAGCAATTAAGTTTACATACATGTTAAGGTTATTTAGAAGAGGTTCTTCTACTATAGCGTGTTACAGTTTAGTTAAGAGGGAGTTATATAAAGCTATAATTAGACTTATCTTATTTAAGCTTATATTAAATATAAGTTAGTAAAACTTAGTAAAGTGTAAAGTAAAGCTTTTTTTTTTTATTATAAAGTGTTTAAGTAACTTAGGGCTATTAACTTTTTATTTAAGTTTTTATAAGTTACTTATAAAAACACTATAAATTAATTTAAGTTAATAATATTTTTATTTATTAGTAAGTTAATTAAAGCTATTATGTTATAGTTAAGTTAAAAGTAAGTATATAGTAACTAAAAGTGTTTAAAGAGGAATTAGTCTATGTTTTCTTTAAGTTTATATTAAAGCTTATATAAGAAAAAAGGTAGGTCTTTTTATTTTCTATTAAATAGTAAGAGATTAAAGAGTTAGTTAGATTTTATTACTAAGTTAAAAAAGTTATAAGTTATAAGCAGTATTAAGTAAAAAAGAGTTAAGCTATCTCTAGACTTTTAAGTAAGCTTTAAGGCTAGTAAGTTCTTAGTTTTTACTACTATAATAAAAGTTAAAGTAAAAATAAACTACTTAATAATATAAAGCTATTTTTTAAAGTCTTTTTAAAAAGCTTTAAAGCTTATAATATAGTAGCTTTTTTATAAAGTAAGCACTTTTTAAAAAGCTTTTTAGCTTACTTTAATAGCTTAAAGTTATGTAAGTACTAAGCTTATTAAATTAAATTTAAAGGCTATTCTTAGCTAAAGTTTTAACATAATATAATGTTATAATTATGTATAAGTAAGGTTATAAAGCTTTATAAAGGTCTAGTTTAATTACTACATAAGGTATTATAGTAGGTACAAAATGTTATATAAGAAACAGAAAGGTTTAAAAAGAAATTAGTAATTAAATACTTAGCTTAAAAGTCTAAGTGCTTTAAGTATAAATTAAGCTTATTTTAAGTTTAGTTAGTGTTAAGGTAGTTTATGCTTAAGTTTATGTCTATGTTATGTTGTGTTTGTGTTAGACGTGCACTAATAATACTCTAGTACGCGTCTAATACAGTTATGTCTGGGATCCGGGGAGGATACCGTGACACCTAGCAGGTTAATTAACAGCTTAAAAATAACTTTTAGCAGGTAACAAAAGGTAAGCAGAAAGCTCCTACGCCTATTGCTAGTACGCTAGAGGATTTTAATAATAATGCAGCATTAAATAAAAAGAGGGAGCTAGCATTAGGCAAGACTTAACATAGCAGGCAAATTAACATTCTTATAAAGTATTACATATAAATTATTGCTAGGAATAGAATTTATAGCATTTAATTAGTATTATAATAAAAAATCTATATGATTTATAATTTGTGTAAGTCTCTAGAGCTTTAAAAGTGAAAGGCGCGGATTGCCAAAATCGTGCATTACGCGAGGCCGTGCATTACGCGCTAAAACATGGTAACGACGGTGAGAGCGTATTTTCGCACAACCCGTCGCAAAGCCGCGCGGCAGGCAGCTTCAATCAATCAGCAGAGTACTGTCAGACTTCCTGCCGAAATCTACCTGCCGCAATCAAGCTATGTCCCCTCTCTACAACCCGTTATCCGGCACGAAATATCTCGAGCTTGGTACAGAATCAACACATATCATGGTAATGAAAGCATATTCTAAAAGGCTGAAAAGAAACTGCGGCAATTTGGGAAATAGGGCGCTAGACATCGAATCTCTTACATTACCTAGCTAACCATTCACGACGTCAGCCATGTTAATATGATCGTCATCCCGGCCATCGTTGATAGAAGAGTGCATGTAATCAGCCCATGCAAAAACTGCATCAAAGGAAGCTCACTCCTCCAACGCTAAGTGTTGCCCCATATGCTGATCCGTAGCGATGGCTTGGGACTCGAAGATTGCTTGGGACTCGAAGATTCCTTGGGACTCGAAAGTTGGTTGGGACGCGAAGATTGCTTGGGACTCGAAGGTAGGAACCGAAGTTCCGCCAGAATCGGGAAACTCTCCAATGACTGGAGCGGAACGATTATCTGAGCTGGGTTCAGCGTTCAAGCAGCCGAGATTTTCATCAGATTGAGTACTCACAAGGGCTGCTCGGTCGACGAGTACCTGGGTGCAAGAAATCATACAACTCCATCCAAGCTTCTTCCTTGGCATTTCTAGTTCGCCGCCACAATTTGCTTGAACGGCATGTCGCTGCGTGCCCGTCGTACTCAGCCTGGTTGTTGAAGTACCTTCCACAACGTTGATGGAACTTGAGGCCAGGCTTGTGGTAGGATCTGACATGCGTTCGTACTTGTGTAATTAGGGACTTAGCGCAGCCTCTGCGGCATGTAATATTTTCCCCACGCATGTCCGCCGCTTTCTCTTCAGGACACGCAAAGCCTGCAGAATGTTCATGATGGCCTTGCGCTGCCCCGGCCGCAATACCTTGGGATGTGGTAAGAGCAACAAGAGTGGCCGGGAATGTTTGTTAGAACGCAATTTTGTAGAAGAAATGGGACTTCGAAGTACCTGGGCTGGCCATGAAGGCAAGGAATGAGTGGTTTGGAGTGAGTTTTCACTCCTGGAAGCACTCGTACTACTGGCATTGGGCGTTGGGAACATCCTGAGGGATGTAAATGGGGTTGATAAATAGTTGAAATGGAGGAATGGAGGGATGGAGGAATGGAGGAATGGAGGAATGGAGGAATGGAGGAATGATTTCCAGCCTTATACCAGAGAGGCAAGTCTCTCTCAGTCATTGGCTATCATACCGGAATACTTAAATAGAAATTCAGGCGTCGCTCTCATGATTGGCTGAGGACAATTGGCTGCAGAGTCCAATTGGACAACTCGCAATCTCTGTTCTGCATAGTGGCTTGATGCGTTGGCTATTCAATCAGTTATTTACATGTCTAGATGTTCAAGATCGGATACTCATCGGTAACGCGCAAGCCACTTGGTAATGGTTGGCTGGGATGTCGCTGGCGAGTTGAGGCTCAGATTATCGATTGGCTGGAGTGGATAATTTTCCATAGCATCTCTTAGGCAGCGAAACCGTATATTATTTGCTGGTCGCTATACTTACCTATGATCCCGTGAGATTTTAAGGGTCTTTTGTTACGAAATCATGGAGAATGTTTTGTGTGGTGCTGCCACAGCCGTACCCCTGCTCGTGCCATCGGCCCAACAGTGGCTGTCGGCCAGAGCGTCCGGCATGGGATTACGCAAGTTGCTACCCTTCAGCCAATCAACTTTGACATCACGTGATACGATTTGGCGAAGTGAGCGGGCCAGGAATTTCATTACCCATTCACCTACACACCTCTCCGTTATCGCGCTGCTCACCTGGAATGGAACCGCGACCCCCTGCACTTCTGCTAGATTCCGTTTCGACAACTTCCGAGAGATACTCTAGCTATGAATGTCGCAAGCGGATGGGCAACTTGTCCCCAGCCGAGGACAAACCCCGCAGTTCGACTTCAGACGTGAGCGACCTTTCGATTTGCGCTGCGCGCAAGGCTCAAGAATGCAAGGCTGAATTTGCGCACAGAATTTAGAATCCTCTCATTTAGGTCACTGGCCCCAGCGACGTTACGATGCAACTGCCCTAGAACATAGTCGAGGACTAAAGAATAGGCCGGCAATTTACGACCGCACTTCCCCTCAATCAGTCACGCAAACCTCACACGACGAGCCGCTCGGGCTCGAGAATGATACTTTTCCAGAATCAGAAGATGATATCAACTCTGTCAAGATAGCAACAGCAAGCAATGCACCTGCTGAAAATCAAGCCTCCCCATCGTATCACTGGATGTCGGTTCGTCCTCCAAGTCCTGACGCAGTTCTGCGGCGAGACCTAGAAAGTACTAGGGGCCAGATTGCTCATGTTTCTCCTACCTTGGCCACGCCTGTTGGCGAGGCAGGGTGTCGTACGAGTCCATACATTGATAAGGAACCGTGGTCTACATGGAACATGCGCGGCACGAGCAGCAACATCCCACCACCCAATCACGCCATGCACATTCCGTCTCCAAGATCTTCAACTACACTATTAACGCCCGGTGTACTAACAGCATTGAAGTGCCCCGTCGAAGGCTGCAATGCATCGTTTCATGGAAATTACAAGAAGGGAAACCTGGCCCGCCATACAAGAACCAGTCACGTAGATGGAGTGCGAGCCTTTTACATATGTAAATGCTGTTCAAAACGTTTTAAACGGAGGGATGCACTGTTGAAACACGAACGAAGAAGTCACCCGGAACGAAATCTGCTTTTATCGCGAGGGCTCAGTGTCGCGAGTACAACGTCCTTCAATTTCGGGTTAACCGCAAACGGTACGCTAGACCATGGTATTATGTTTGACACTCCTAACAGTCTATAGGGCAACAAAGAAAACGTATGCCCTTCTCCACAGTCCCGTTCAATCGCGACCCTGATTTTGTGGATCGCCCTAATATGCTGGCTTGGGTCCACAAGATGTGCGCGGCCCCAGGCAGTCGAGCTGCCCTTGTTGGTCTCGGTGGCGTAGGGTATGCTAGCTAGTCCTAGTTGAATGTGCTTCGACATTGACGATACCACAGCAAGTCGCAACTTGCAATTCAGTACTGTCATGATCTTCGCGAAGCGTCGCCGCAGACTTGGGTGTTCTGGGTGCCCGCCAACACAAGGGCACGCTTCGAAGAAGCATACCGTGGCATCGCGGATCGGCTCGAGATTCCCGGCCGAAACGACCCCAAGATCGACACCCTCCAGCTGGTAACAAATTGGCTGCGCGACGAGGGCAACGGGCAGTGGGCCATGATATTAGACAATGCAGATGACATCGGGGTATTCTATCCCAAACAGAAACGCGGAAGAGACGATTCCGAAGACATCCCAGCACCATTCGCAGTTTTCCTGCCCCAGAGCCAGAACGGGTCCATCTTGGTGACATCGCGAAGCAAGGATGCGGCAACTCGGCTAGTAGGGGGCTACAAAAACATCATAAACGTGAACGCTATGGACGAGAGCCAAGCTATACAGCTTCTACGAAAGAAGTTGTGTGACACTTCAGAGGAAGACGGGATAGCAGCGCTAGTCCATGTTCTCGGTTGCATACCTCTTGCGATCTGCCAAGCCGCAACATACATTAATCAAAGCGCGCGGATGACGGTATCACGCTACCTAGAGGAGTTCAGGAAGAACGACAAAAAGAAAAGCAGCTTGCTCAACAGAGACGCAGGCGACCTCCGTCGCGACGAAAGCGCGTCGAACTCGATAGTCACTACGTGGGAGATGTCGTTTGAGCAGATCCGCAAGGAGAGACCCTCAGCAGCAGACCTGCTGTCGCTGATGAGCTTCTTCAATCCACAGGGGATTCCAGAGTCTGTGCTTCGCGTCCACACAACCAGGGCAACACCTACAGTGAATCAGCCTATTCTAGATTATAACGACAACGATGTTGGTGATTTCGACGAGGACCTAAACATCCTCGTAGCCTACTCGCTAGTCAGAGTGACGGCGGATAGCGACCTCTGCGAAATGCACCAGCTGGTGCAGTTCTGCACGAGGGAGTGGCTGTCGTCTTTCGATCAGGCTGACTGGTGGAGGCAGAGGTTTATGGCAGCAATGGCACAAGAGTTCCCTAACGGGAGCTTTGTGAATTGGGCAAGATGTCAGACACTGTTCCCTCATGTGGCGCCAATGTTTGAGAGTGAGCCAGCTCAGGAAGAACTGCTTCAAGACTGGGCACATGTGCTTAGCAACGCTGGATGGTACCTATGGATGAAGGGGCAGTATAGGGAAGCTGAAAGAATACTAGTTAAGGCAGTCAAGACAAGAGAGAAAATAGCAGGGCAGAGCAGTCTTAGTACGTTGGTTAGCGTGGGCATTCTAGCGTTGCTATTGCAGAGTCAGGGGAAGTACGAGGCGGCGGAGGAGATGAACCGGCGAGCGCTGGAGGGAAGAGAGAAGGTGCTTGGGAAAGAGCACCCCGACACCCT